TTTCTACTCAAGTCATTGTACCCATGAACAAGGCTCAGTTCCTCAATTCCTATGCTATCTGGTTCCACACTCTGTTCCTGTGAAAATGTGTGCCAACCACAATCTTTCACCCTCTACTGCAAAGGTCACAGTTCTTCCTTTTACTAAGTATGTCTCAGCAGACACCGGTCTTTATTTTAATAGACTATCAAAGAAATATGTTTGATTTATACAGAAAGAATTATTAAGATATTTTTTCCTTTCACAACATCTGGGTGAATTTATGACCTTCTAGATCAGGGGTGTCAAGCTGCCGGCTCGTGGGCCGGTTGCATCATGTGGTGGCCGCACCCACCCCAGCACCGGCAATGCGAAAAGTCGTGATACGTTGCGACACATCACGTGACACGGCGAGTTTGACACCTGTGTTCTAGATGTTACTGCCTCCAATCTTTTCTTCAATTTTTTCCCCTTCTTTGCAGTAAATATCAAAAAGATGGAAGAAGCAACAGTAAGATATGGGAGGTTTATATGTGGACATTGACATCATCCAGATCGCCCATTAAATTATATGAACAAGGAATCATTACACCACAAAAAATCCTCCATACTAATAATTTATAGCATCACCCAACCATCCTTATGATGATATAACTCATAATAGACCCATAGAATGTAACAGTTGTATGGGACCTTAGGGATCTAAACAAATGCAGGAATTCATTACTGTTACCCCATAAATATGGGTACAGGGACGTTCTACAGTAGCAAATCTTTTATCTTATGGCCCAGAGACCTCAGAAGTCTCCAATGTACTAATAACACTGATCTGCCACTTCCTAGATGATGACAGCCTCCTGTTTCTACTTTCTGTATTAAGGTAAATCAGATAGATACATCTATCAAAGGTCAGTCATTGTGGGAACACATCGGGATTAATCAAGAAGGGTTTTTCATATGGGAATTCTTTCAACGGTTATTGCAAAGGAATGTGGGAAAGAAATAGGAAATTATGTATCTCTGTTGAAAATTGACACTTATCTGCTATGGGGCTAGGCTACCTGCTTTTTCAGGCACCACTTTTTAAGTGGGAATTTATTCACAGATTTAGGAAAGATTATGTGCTCTCCTAATTTCTTAAGTGGTGGGGAAGCTGGAGAGGCTATGCTGACTATTCTATGTTTTCTTTGGCTGGGAGAACTGCTTGTGTTATGTTTTGCAATTGCTGTTGTTGTTTTATTTGAGATCAGATGGGGACTGCAAGTGGGAAGAGAGAAGAAGCAGCTCCCATTGCATAAGCTAAATACTACTCAGCTCCCAGCAGATTTGGCCCTATAGATTTCTACTTTTACTGTCCTCAGAAGACTATTAGAAACTTTGCCTCCATCACTGAGAACTATTCTTCTCTGACTATAGGTAGTCCTTGACTTACAACCGAAATGTATGTTATTAAATGAGAATGTGTTGAGTTTTGCCCCATTTTACGACATTTCTTGCCACAGTTGTTAAGTGAATCACTGCAGTTGATAAGTTAGTAACCCGGTTGTTATGTGAATCTGGCTTCCCCATTGAATATGCTTGTCAGAAGTTCACCAAAGGGGATCACATGAGCCTGGGACATAACGATGGTCATAAGTATGAATCAGTTGCCAAGCTTCTGAATTTTCATAACATGATCATGGGGCTGCTGCAAAGGCTGTAACTGTAAAACTGTCATAAGTCACTTTTTTTCAGTACTGTTGTAATGTTGAATGGTCACTAAATGAACTGTTGTTAAGTCAAGGACTACCTGTACTGTAACAATGGATTTTCTGAGCCAGGGTCAGCATATCAGAATTAATGCAGAAGCCTTTTTAATACAGGACATGTTTGCATTTGCAGAGAAATCCCTGCACAAACATTGCACAAGGTACTTTGCATGTAAACAACCAGTGTGGAAATATGCATCACACAACATAGGCCGAAAGAGTGGGGCTCTTCTTTATCATGATTGCCAAAAAAAAATGCTGGCATAGATCAGAGAGAGACTTAAATAGTATAAGCTTTAAAATAGACTTACCTGTTGTTGTTTTTTAAAGAAGAGACTCTATTCCCTCGCTCCCAAATATTTTGCTCAAAAGAACAAATAAAAACATGCAGCCTTGCTCTGTGTCTGATGTGGTTCCCCCAATTTCTTGGTCGTTGCTCCATCTTTGGGCTTTCACCCACCTCCATCATCAAGAAAGGGTCACCGCCCATAAGGCATTGCCTATCTATGCTTTGGGAGGATGCATCAGAGCTGAGATACTGCAAAATCACATTTCCCAGGCTTTCTCTGAAGGAGAAAAGCTGATCCAGAGGCACTGTAGCTTGGCCTAGTAAAAATGGTTTCAGCTTGCTAAACAGAACTGGCCTGATACAACGAAGCACAAATATAGCAACAGGTTATACAGCTTGATAAAGCCGAAGGGGAACACCTATTAAGAGTTGTGAGAACACTTATGGACAT